CCAAATCTCCTTAAAGGAATCAAGCTGAAATCAAGCTACAATCAAGATCAAACTGGACACTCATGTTCACAACGACCAACAACTAGATCAGGTGATTGCTAGTCAACGTAACAAAACAAAGCAGAATTATAAAAATTAACAAAACCCCACCCAAAAAAATTCACTGTCGCAAAATTCAAAATTCGGACCCACACAAACACACAGAAATGCAACCAAAACAAATCAAACCCGGAAAACACAAATGGAAAAAAAAAAAACTTAAAGGAAAGAAGACAAACCGCACTATCAGAGTCATGTCGAATCCGAACCAATTCATTCCTCCTGTAAGACCCAGCAACCATACCCGCATTTGCTTCCATCTTTTCTTTCTTCTCTCAAAGTCAATTCACACCCTCTTTTCTTAAAAGAAACATAGAGATAGGGAGATGGATCTGCGAGTAAAAAGGTAATAAGTACTTTGAGAGCACTCAATTCGTCATCTCTGACTGTCTCTTCTTTCTCTTCTTGTGAGCTTTGGTATTAGCGGGCTCTCTGTCTGTCTAGTGTCATGAGTGCTTCTGTCTTTTTATTATCTTCTTCTTTCATGTTTTTTTTTATATTATTATTATTATCCTTGTCTTTGTTTTTTTTTTTCTTTTATGTAATAAAAAAAAGGTTTCTCTTTCCCGCTTGGCTTGCCGTCCGATACAAGAAAGTCCAGCCTCGCATCGGCTTGCTGTCCTTTTAACTGTTCTAGGAAATTTATTACATTTTAAATTTACATTAAAACGAGATCAACATTTACCTAGGAATTGTGTTTTTTTATTTAGTATAAATATCTTACAAAATTATAAAATTTATTCGTGAGGCCCATCTTTATTTAAGAAAAAGAAATATGATTTTTGATGTATCAAATAATTCCCCGTAAATATCTTATTAAATAATTCAACCCGTTAAAAAATATATATTCTAAAAATATTTTATATTATATAAAGCGATTGGCTTTAATTTTCTGGAAATAAAGAGTTTTAATATATAATATAATTTAATTATTTAGGATTATAATATGTAATTAACTCTATTTAAATAAAATTATCAAATATAAAGCTATTTCAATACTTGCATGCCAGTAATTTTAGATATGATTTAAATCGCACAAGTAAAAATTTATAATACCTTCTTTGTTTTTTTTTTATCAACACATTACTTGTAGCATGAATGAAATTAGTCTCCTTGTAGCACCTAAATCTAGTATTGCTCTAGTTATTGCCTTCTGCTTTATTTCATTTTATTTTCTTACTATTAATTTATTTTAATTGTAATGTTTAATATTATATTAGTTTTCCCTTTAAAAAAATCTTTATCACCAAAAATAAACTTTCAAAACAACACATATTATTTCTTTGTTATTTTAACGGGGCAATACATACCTAATCACAAATATTAGCTGCATATTTTATTTATTTGTAACTGCAATCATCATTATTCATTTTACATGATTTAAACAAAATATTATTTTATAATTTTTAGTTTATTTTTAATATGGTCAAATATCAAGTGGATTTAACAGCTTTTTTTAGAGAAATGATTGAAGTAATGATAAAAGAAAATTCAAATTCTTTTAATTGATCCACTCCCTTCTTTGATAATATTTGTTTTTTAGTGAAATCATACTTTTAAAAGAAATTATTTTAATTTTTTCGATGATTTTATATTATTTTAATATATTAATATAAAAAATAAAAATATTATTTTAATATATTTTAAAACAAAAAACATTTCTAAAAATAATGTTACTGTGATATCAAATAATAATTCTACCTCTTAATTCTTATTTGGTTTGCGTTTCATATGGTTGTATGTAAATTTTATTTTATTTTTTAAAAATTAATATTTTATAATTTTAAATTTTTTTATTGATATTAAAAATAATTTTTAAAAAATATATTATTATGATATTTTTTAAAACAAATATTATTTTAAAACCAATAGTTACTTCATTTGTTAAAGAAAAGTGAGGCAGTGGATTGGGAAGCCGAGAAGCTCGAGCTGGAGCCGAAGAATACTCAGCTGGAGCCACGTCATAAAGAGCTAGAACGTCTCTTTCCCATTATAACTAAGTCCTAATTTCTCGAGGACGTGTTGTAATATGATTTGCTTGACCGTACAGTAGCAGTCGTTGTATCATGACTACGTAAGTTAAAACCAACCATAATGCGACACTTATCAGTGTCTGTCTGTTGGACTGTTGTTTGCCAAGAAAGCGACAAAAATAGCTGAACATGATTTTTGCTGTTGCCTAAGTATTTACCGGCTACTGTCGGTAGCTTGGGTTTTCTACTCCGGTGGCTGTCGGTGGACTCCAATGGGTTCATTCTAATTTTTCTGCCAATATGGTTTCTTTTTTAGAGTATTAATTTTACAAATTTTTTTAGATTAATACGAATGTTTAGTAAACGTATATTTATTTTAAGTGATTTTATAGACTTGCCATTATATAAATTTTTAATATTTATTTCCTTTTTAGAGTATTTATTTCTTAAATAAGTGTTGATATAATTATATTGAGAGATCTGAATTGGTGATGCGTTTTCTTTAGGAAATTACCAAATTGATTTTATCTTCCAAGATAGTCTATTTTCCTTATTTAGTGTTTTTTTCTGTTGAAAAAAAAATCAATTTTAGATTTCATCCTCAAATTTCACTTTTAATAATTTTATAACTCAATAGATATTTTTATTTTTTATTTTTAAAAAATCCCAAATTAAATCTAAAGTTATTAAATCTAGTTCGGTGCAAATTTAGGTGACTTATTATGCTGATTAATCTAAATTAATACAAAACAATTAAATCTAGTTCGGTGCAAATTTAGGTAACTCATTATGCTGATTAATCTAGATTAATACAAAACAATTTTAAAAAATATCATTTTAATATGTGAAAAAAAAAAACAAAAACAAAATTTCAGTTTTTTTAGATTAAAATAAATTTTAACTGAATAATAAATTAACTTGTCGTGTCAATAAAATCACACCATATCAATTTATACCCGAATTAATTTATAACCAGGCTCAAATTATACACTGAATCAGGGTGTTTAACACTGGTTCAATCATCTTCCCTTTAAACTAACCTCTCAGCATTTTCAAAATTACATTTTCTACTGGATAATTCACACACACACACTCACAACACCGTCTATGGTAGGACCACCATCTTCATCACCCTGCGCTCGTGCCACGGCAGATCTGATATAAAAAACTGGCAATAAAATTGGCATGGAGCCCAGCAAAAGGAGGGAGGAAGAAAAGGACCAGATTGTTATGGAATTACATGCTTCGGAATCAAGCTTTGTCGATGTCCGATGGACACCACTTCCATATATTACTTTGTTTCAAAGTCCTCTCCATGCATACCGGAAAATATGTTTTAAAAAGTGTTCGGGAGAGGGGGGTGCAAGCAGATTCAGATAAAAAATTATTATTTGAAAATATCTTTGTAAAACTCAGAATCCAAGTACTGAATTAATATGTGACGTAGAGTTTAACAACAAGATTATAGCTGAAATGATAAATTAAATCAATTAGTTTTATTATTTTGCTTAATCAAACTTATGATAATTTAGAGATATTATTCTTTTCATGTTGATGTCATCCTCGATACTAAATCTTTAATTGCTACATCAAATATGTCGCTTGATAAATTATTGAGAATATTAGGTGATTGACTTAATTGAAATATATTAAAATTACAATTCAAATTACTTAAATAATATTACAAGTCGTGGTTAATTAAGTTTATTATATTAACATACCAACATGTAATGACGAGAATGCAAATTCATTATCTAAATCAACAAAAAATAATAATATTAATATTTTGAATCTCTACTTAAATAGCATGCCTAAACAAAACAAAAAAAAAAACCTTTTTTTAATATAAAGTTGGCCTAGTTTTCAAATAACTTTCAAAGAAAGAATTACATAGACACATTACAAGCAGATAGTCCATTTAAGGTAAATGATAATGCTTAGAAGTTATTAACATGAAATCTCGATGGAATATTACATCTGTTTTGTATTGCTAAAACATTTATATCATATTAATATTATATTAATATTAGCACTTTAATAGTGTTATGGTTGATAGGAAAGATGAGAATGATAGAGATGATGAGGATACTGAATTAATTGAGAGTGTTAATCAATAAACAACCTTACATATGACATCTCTCTCCTCAATATGAGGCTGTTTGTGTGGGTGATCAATTTGAGGTTCTTCTCCTCAATTATTGCTTCTATTTACTTGGCACCATCTTCGAAAAGGCATACATAGCTATATGCATTTTCATTGGACTTGGTCTTTGATTTCGCTCTTTCATTGCATATTTGAAGGAAAGAACATGGATATTATTTTTATGGCTGGACTGGTCATTGTTAAATGGCAGAATAAAAATCCATATTTCCTTCATCGCTCTCCTTCAAATTTCTGAAATTGGCACTAGATATCAATCTGCAATGGTTTTTTTTTTTTTTTTCCCAGGAAGAATCTATCTCATATGAAATCGCCGGCCAAATAATAGGAAAAATAAATAAATTCTCGTAACCTGGCATTAAAATTCAACCCTAATCAGCAAGCCCGGAAGCACACATAATGGCCGGTGTTCAATGCTTTTCTTCTCCATGCTTACAAACTAACCAGCCCTTTTAACTAGGGTCACTATTTGCATCACATTGCCCTCATGACTTGGTCACTCTAAAATTTAAAGAATTTGCGATGGTGCCTGGCTTTAAGGGGGTAAAAAACATGAAGGGACCAGATTGCCATGTTATAACACGCTTCAAGATCAAGCTTGGCTAAGGTCCTATAGTCATACTACTTCCATGCACGATAATTCACAAAGGCATAATATCATCTGAAATTATCTCTCGTCTAAACACTCATCTTCATGAAGAGCCATCTGCATTAGCACTATTGCTGCCTCCTCTCCTGCTTGCTGTTGTGTTCTTCAGTATCTGCAACAAAATGTAAAACCATTTCATGATCGAAGAATAAAAACATCAATAGATTTCAGCGCAAGAAATCAGAAAGATTTGAGCTTCAAGCAATTTTTCCATGCAATATGGTTTTTGGATGTCATTGGGGTTTTTCAAATCATGCAACCATTAAATGGGTTCCAGAAACAGCCCCATTAAGAAAAACTCAGATAGTATATTGTTGCCCAGTTCAGCCCTATTGCAGATGATGGATGGAGCACTGTCCAATATTGGCCTACCACCACCAGTCCACCACCAACTAGAGGTCTTCTCAAAGCCCAAGGAACTCCCACCATGCCTAGTGCGCCATGGTAAGTAGGAATCAAAAGATTCAAAATACGGCAAGGTTTTGAAAGACAAGAATTCAAAGGGACAGTAATTGACAGGTGACATTCAAATGCACATGCTACAACATTGGTGGCAACTGGACATGACCAAGTGGGTATGCTAATTGCTATATACTCGTTGTTAAAAAAATCTTCTTATTTTGTGTCTTTATCAGACCTAACATTCCATCACAACAGCCAAAAAAAATAAAAAACATCAAACAAAATATCAGTCATGAAAACTAAAGATATGGTCATATGCCTCGTGTGAGCTCACCTACTTACTCCCCGTAACGATAAGTTCATGAACCTCCTTTTCTTTCTTCAAGTCAGGCCTTTCATTTTCAATTTCTTCTCTCTTAAATACGCAACAAGATGCCAAGATCCTATATATCTCATTATCATTGCACTCATTCACCGATCATCCATGTTGATTATTTGCATAATTTTATTTTATTTTTCCAATTTAGATATCACAATGTCATAGCCTCCTGGTAATAAACTAATATTATCATAAGTATTTTTTAAAAATATAAATTTTAAAAAATTAAATTATTATTTGATATTTGATAACTTAATAAAAAATAAATTAAAAAATATTTTTTAATATTTAATTATATTATAAAAAATAACTTATTAATATTTTATTTTTTAAAATTTATTAAAATAATAAAAAATAAACCTTACAAATTAAAAATAAAATATAATTTCATAAATTATCTCAAATAAAATAAATAAAAATTAAAATAATAAAAATTAATTTTTTTAAAAAAAAATAACAAATTTTAAAAAATATTTTCATTTAAATTTTTTTTAAAAATCAAATCAAAATTTTTAATTAAAAAATATTTTTTATTGATAAATTTTTTAATAAAAAAAAATATAATTTAAAATATAATTTTTCAAAATCACTTCACGTAAAAAAACAAACATGTAACAAGAAAAAAATTGATGCAAGGATGGGACTATGGAAACATACATGTCTAAGCATTTGATTCTCATTCTGCAAGGTAGAAAGCTTCTCTTCAAGCTCAGAATTCTTCTTTTCCAAGTCTTTAACTCGTGTTTCCAACTCAGTCAAGTACACCTTCTTCCTTTCCCTTGCTTGCTGGGCTGATACTCTATTCCTCAACAACCTGATGAATTTCCAGTACCACCCCCCCACAAAACACTAATTATCACCAAATCAACACGATCATTTATTCCTCTGGTTCTGAGCCCCACATTAAACGGCTAGAAGGGGTAAAGCAGTGAACTCGAATCATTACCTCTTTAGCCTCTTGTTTTCTTTGTCTGCTGGACTCCTACCTCTCTTTCTCTGACTTTGTCCCTCTCCTGCAGGCTGCACTCTGCCCGGACCGGCAATTGAACCGGTCTCTCTGCCAGAGGCTGATGTCCCGGCCGGTTCACCGCTCATCTCTGGCACTCTTCTTATTTCCTCATCACTCTCCATACCTAAAATTAACAAAACAAAACACAAAAAATTATAAAATCTAAACATAAACAGTGCAATATGAAAGTTTCGATCTTTAAGGGATCTTATGAGAAAATTGAAGAAAAATTGGGGACCCATTTGAGAAAATTAATGATTCTAAAAAACCCAGATTGGAAAGATTTTGAGATACTTGAAGATCCTGGAGAAATAAATAAAAATAAAAGACTGTGACTTTACTGCAAGTGATTTCTAGCAGAAATAGCAAGACTTTCATTACAAAAAACCCAGATGAGAATTTTGAAAGTTTATTTGAAATAACGAAGAAAAGCAATAAAATTTGAAAAATGCAATAAAATTTAATAAAGAAACTGCTTTAATTCCATTTTAAAGTCAAAAGGATATTGCAGAGGGGAAAAAAAAAAAGACAGAGAGAGAGAGAAATGAGACCTTCTTTGACTTCAAGTTGAGGAGCAGAACTTGAAGATCTCTCACTGCTAGACGGAAAAGAATATGCAGGAATTGAACTGGCTGCTTGGTCTTGCATTTTTGTATTTTTTTCTTTAAAGATCAGAGAGAAAGAAGCGATTTTTTTTAATGGCTTCTAGAGAGAGAAAAAAGAGCGGGATATTAATGCAGAGAGAGCACAGAGAGAATTACAACCATTAGATTTGATTTTAATCGGACCATGGAGACATGGAAATCGTGGAAGCATATAAGCCATGACAAGATACGTAAATCAAAGGATTGTTTGTTATAATCGTGGAGGAATGTGGACTGTTGGATTGGGTTTAATCTGATGATTGGCATCGAAGATGGAAGAGGCGTGCGGTGACTTAGGACCATATCATGTTTTTTGGCTTAAGGTGGCCGTCTGTCTTGGTTTTGGGAAAAAAAAATAAAAAATTATTTGCGTGTTGATATTAGATGCCATGACGAGGTGGAGAGTACGTATTTTCTATATTTGGACATGTGCATGTGACAACCATGTGCAATCTTACTTGAAATTTAAGTTGAAATCATAGTTAGCTTTGACGAATCAAAAAAATAAAGTTTATTTTTTAATAATTAAAATAATATTATTTGATAAAAAAAACCAATGTTTTTTTTACTATATTAATGAAAGAACGAGTTGATTTGAATTTTTAATTAAATTAAATTAAATTAAATTAATTTTTTCAGCCAGATTAATCTAAATTTTAAATTAATTGAGTTCTATGCTTGTTTAGATTTTATAACTAGACTCGATCTAGTTTATTGGAATCTAACCACCATTTTGACTGATTAAGTTGTTTTGGTGGAGAAGGTGATGAACACTTCATTGTTCTCTTCGACAAGGAACCATATATGATCTGTCTATCCCTCCTTTGAGAGTTGAAATGTTGGTGTCAAGGGAGTTGGTTTGGCGATGGAAACTTCTGTAATCCTCCTTTTAATTAGCAACTTAATTATGTTAGGCAGGGGCGGCGCCACCTTGTGGTCAAGAAAAACACTTTATAACGCCACTGATTTAACCTTGACCCGTGACCAAAACCCTAATTAAAATATAATGATTATAACAGAAGTTTGGTGTTAGGGACAGACATGTTCGTGATCCAATTAAACTTCCCCTGGCGGCTCTGATCAATAACTCGCCAACATGATCTATAATCTAGGGTGGCTTCTAAATTAATTAAGTGAAAATTGAATTTAATTTGACTTTTTTTAAAAAAAAATCAGAGTAATATTGCTTTATTTAAATTTTTTAAGCGATAGACATTTATTTATATAACTTGTGACCTAGATTAAACCAGTATTTCATATTATGTCAAAGTAATGATATTTTTTTTTAAAAAAATATTTTTAATGTTAATTTATTAAAATAATTTTAAATTAAAAAGTAATATTTCTTAAAAAAAGCACGACGATGACAAGGGCAACAGGTTATGATAATATTTTTATCAAACGTGAACTATGAGGTCAGTGGTGAAATTAGAAACTCTGACGAATGGAGGGAACACGTGTAGATAAAAATAAATACAAATATCAATTTATTTAAGTCATTTCTTGTCCTAGAAAATCAATGTATGAATTAACTATCTCTACTTCGTTATCTGTACTTGCATAATTTAATTATTTTTATTTCATAAAATAAAAGAGTCATCATAAACAGTGGCAACCCTAGATCACTTACCCATGGTAGGTAGGATGCGGGTTAAGTTTTTATTTAAAATAAAAAAAATATTTAAATATTGTTCATAATTTTTTTTAAAAAAAAATTAATAATGTTAGGATTGATCTAATGCTATCCATTTAATTTTATGAATTTAAAAACAACTCAGACGATTTGTAAAAACATGGTTTAATCAATATTTTTTCAATAACATATCTTTTTTTAATGTTAAAAATATATTGAATTAGATTAGGTTACTCTAGACTAGCATATCAAATTCACAACCTGATATCATTTTTTAATTTAAAAATTATTAAATTGAATTAGATAAGTCTAGACTAATATATCAAATTCACAACTTGAGTTATACAATTATAATAATCTCATGAAAAGTAAATTAAAATAAATTAAAAAGCATAATTTTCAATCAATTCAGTGTTGAAGGATTTCTCATAAAAAATAAATTAAAATAAATTAGAAAGCATAATTTTCAATCAATTCAGTGTTGAAGGATTTAACTTGAAAGAAAAATCAATTTAGAATATCACCTAAAAAATCGACTAGAATTAACTTGTCAAGCCGATGATCCGGGTCATAAGACCGAGATAACCCGATAAAAAACAAATAAAATGAAATAACAAAGTTCAATTCTTGATCAGCTTAATGTTAAATAATACTGTTAGAAAAATCAATTCAAACAATAACATAAAAATTACTTTGGCCAGTCTGTCAAACTCATGACCTAAGTCATGAGATCGGGATAATTTCACTAAAAAATCACATAATTTAACTTTGATTAATCTACTAAATTTGTGATCTTTTGTTATGAAATTAAGATAATTTCACACAAAAAAAAATTATAAAATTTAATTTCAAAATGAATTTATCGAACCCAATTTTAAACGATAAAAATTATAAAAATTTTAATTAGAAAATGAGTTAAATTAACCTAGGTTAACTAATTAAGCATTTTTCTCGTGTCATGAGGTCAGAATAACCTGATAAAAAATAAATCATGAAGTCTAGTCTTAAATAAAAAACAATAGTACTTGATGAAATTAAGGAGAAAGTCAATTAAAAAAAGGAAAAAAAACAAGTCAACTACATTAACCCACCAAATACAAGCCAATAGATGGAAACAACCCAATAAAAAATAAATTCAATGTTAAAGGATTCGTGACTCAGGTCATAAAATCACGATAACTTTTTATAAATAAAAAAAATAATTCAATTTAGTTGGGGTTAAAATTTTAAAACTTGCAAATTTGATCACAGGACAAAGATATCATCATAAAAAATAGATTAAAATAGATTATAAATCTTAGTTCTCAATTATCTAAATATTAAATGATAAAATTAAAAAAAAATAACATAAAAAACAACTTGAGTTGCCCATCAAGTTTTATTCCAGGGTCACGAGGCCAAAATAAACTAATAGATATCAATTAAAATAAAACATGAAATTTAATTTTTAATTTAATATTAAATAATAAAATAAATAAAATTCACATCATTTTTAATTTTTTTTAGAAAAGAAATCGAACCCCACCAACATGGTTTGCTATGAAAGCCAGCTTGATTTATTAGAGGCCGAGTCGATAGATCCCATGTTTACCCGCTAATCTTGACTAAGTTCAGTAATATTAATGAAAAATTCCTCGCAGTAGCGCGGCTGCAACTGACTAGTCTACCCTGCTCACGTTCCAAACTCTAATAAATGGTGTTTGAGAGCATGTAGCACATCCACCTACCAAGGATAGGGATTTGTTTCTTGCAAAACTTCAGTCATATCACTTCCTATAAAGGGGTTTGTCTCTGTTTAATTTGTAGTATCAACACTACAAACGACTTGAATTGTCCAGGGAAAAGATCCATCAATGGCTTTATTACAATGGCTGAAAGAGTGCTCCAAAACTGCCTTGTTCGTTTTTTTTTAATTAACGTGGGTGTCCGAGCTAGCTTGCGTACAGCATGCCTAATCCCACGAATCCTGAAATTAACGACCATATAAGCCTCCAGTAGTCATTATATGAATAACCAAGAACTCAAATCTAAAATTACATAAAAAACAAACCCCTTAATCCCAGCTATGTTTGTCTTAACAATGACTTTGAGAGTCTGCCACGACCATGTCTTGCAGGTGTCCTCTTTTTAGCCGTGGTCCCATGCATGAAACCTCTCAGCAAAATCCGTTAAAGATCTTTCCAGGACTTGAATGGTCATTTTCTCCAGTACCAGGAATATATACCCTTGAATTTTTAAGAATAATGCCACTTGCATCCCTAGCGAAGTCATATAGGCTTGCTTTGCTGTTTTCACATTCCAGTGATTCTCCACTCTCTCTCTCTCTCTCGCTCTCTCGCTCTTTTGTTTCCTGCTTTAACCATGTATGGATACTGCCTTCTTTTGCTGCTTTTGGTGAAGAAATTATATGAGCTTGTGAGTTTCACTTGTGCCGGGCATTAAGCTGATGGCAAATTGTATCTTTTTTTTTTAATGTTAATTCGGGTATTTTCCGTATATCTTAATTAATCTTATAAGTTTTGTAGTTACCAAATATGTAAATTTTTAATAATTCTTATAAAAAATAAATCTAAAATCTAAAATGTTAAAAAATAAATCTAAAATCTAAAATGTTAAAAAATAAATCTAAAATCTAAAATGTTAAAAAATAAATCTAAAATCTAAAATGTTAAAAAATAAATCTAAAATCTAAAATGTTAAAAAATAAATCTAAAATCTAAAATCTTATCCGTTAAGCTGCCTTTTAGTTATGCACATTGTATCTTCCACAGCTCGAACATGACCAAGGAAGTTCATGTTAGCTAAGAAAATTTCTTGGCAGGAGTCTTAAAAGCAAGGTATGATTAACGCTATACTACTTGTATGTAAGAGAACCCTTCTTTCCTCATCTCCACGCATCTCCAGATTATTGCAGCCACTGAAAGCGAATGATTCACATGTTTTGTCTAAATGCATTGACGAAGACAAGGTAGGAGTTGTCTTGTAATATTATAAAGGGGAATTTAACCATATTATATCACATTGAGCATAATACATAAAGGAATTGCAATCATTGTAAGGAATAATACAAGTTTAGCCTAATGGCACTCTCTTTTGCTAAGCAAGAGAAAGAGACATGACTCGATATTGAGATTGCCACTATTATGGTTGCTAAACTAAAAGAAGCGAAAGATGCAAGCAGCTACATGACATGACTTCCGTAGCTGATCTTCCTTAAAAATCACTTGTTGCTAAAAAGTAAATTCGAAAGCAGTTTTCTTCTTATTGATTTGGATTTAGGGATGCCTAGAGGCTTCCCAAAAGCTTTCGAAGATTGATTCATGAGGGCAGTCGAAAAACTGCGAGGGAAAGCTGCGGGTGCCGCCGCCTTCAAGTTGCTGGGATCTGTCACGTCAACCACTCTAGCACTCTGGCATGGCCTCAGTTCCTTGTGGTCTACCTTGTCCTCT